TTTTCAGTTTGATGAGATTCCACTTTTCTATCTTTCATGGTGTTTGGTTTTGGGGATTTGATCAAGAATTGATTGCCTACTCTGATGTGCATAAGAATGTTCTCTATGTTTTCTTCTAGGATTCTTGTAGCTTGAGGTTTCACATTTATGTCTTTGATCCAATTAGAGTTGATTTTTTTTTATGGTGATATGTAGGAGTCCTATTTCATTCTTCTGCATGTGGTCAGCTAGCTTTCCCAGCACCATTTGCTACATGTGGTCTCCTTTCCTCAATGGTTGTTATTGGTGGCTTTGTTGAAGATGAACAGCCAACAGATATATGAAAAAATGTTCATTAACACTAATCATGTGAGAAATGCAAGTCAAAATCACAATGAGATACTACCTAACTCTAGTAAGAATAGCCCTCATCAATAATTCAAAAAACAATAGAGGCTGGCAAGGGTGCAGAGAAAAGGGAATGTTTCTGCTCTGTTGGTGGGAGTGCAGGCTAGTTCAACCTCTATGGAAAGTAGTATGGCATTTCCTAAAAGAACTAAAAATTGACCTTCCACATGATCTGGCAATACCTCTCCTGGGAATTTACCTGGAGGAACATAAATTGTTGTACAGAAAAGACACCTACCTGTACATGCATATTTATTGCCACACTGTCACAACAGCAAAAACATGGAACCAACCCCACTGCCCATCAAAACAGGACTGGATAAAGAAAATGTGGTACACATACATGATGGAGTATTATTCAGCCATAAAGAAGAACAAAATCATGGAATTCACAGCAAACTGGATGGAGTTGGAGATCATCATACTTAGTAATCTTTCACAGAAGCAAAGAGCTGAATACCCTATGTTTTCACTCATAAGTGGGACCTGAACATTAATCACAATAGCATAAGGGAGGGATCTGCATTCGATGGATACTGCCAGAGGAGGGGGGACGAAAGAGGGCACTAGCTTCACAAACGGAATCTGGTCCTAAACCAGGGGAAGTGAGGTTCAAACTTCACCTGCATGAAGCCTGCTTGTGTAACTAATCCTGACTTGTACCCCACATATCTATAATAATCAAAAATTAAAAAATAAAACACAAAATATAATTTACTAAACAAGGAAGTGTCTTCTTGTCTGCTGCATGCAAATAACGTAGGGTAATATGACTTCTTTTCTGTACAATTCCTTTTTTTTTTTTTGAGTTGGAGTCTCACTCTGCCACCCAGACTGGAGTGCAGTGGCCATCCCAGCCACCACAGGCTCAACCTGCTGGGCTCCGGCGATCCTTCCGCTTCAGCCTTCCGAGTAGCTGGAATTACAGGTGCACACTACCACGCCCAGCTAATTTTTTTATTTATTGTAGAGATGAGGTCTCGCCAAGTTGCCCAGGCGGGTCTCGAACCCGCGGGCTTGGGCAATCCACTCACCTCAGCCTCCCAAAGGCACGGGATTACAGGCTGAGCTACCGAGCCCGGCTTGTACAATATTTTATGCATAGTTTCTTGTGTCCTTTACAAATAAAAGATAGGTTAAAGCAGTAGAAAGTCTAGCAAATCATCCAGTGACAAAGTGATTTTTTATTTTAAAAATCAGAACAAGTTTCTCACTGGGTATATTGATAAATTGACATTTGGGGGTGAGGGGATTGTCTCAAAACCAGGTGTTGTTTAAGAGATACTAGATACAACATATTTAAACATAAAGGGAATAAAAGTTGGTACTTTATCAGAAAGAGTATAGTAGTAACTAGAGCAGTTGTGTCCCAGAATGCTCTGTGATGATGGAAATGTCCTATATCTGCCCTGTCTGGTATAGCAACCACTAGCCACATTAGACACTGAACATTTGAAAAGTAACTAGTGCAACTGAGGTATTGAATTTTAAATCTTATTTAGTATTTGTTTTGTTCTAAAAATTATCATTCAGGCTAGGCATGATGGTTCATGTCTTTTTTTTTTTTTTTTTTGAGTTGGGGTCTCACTCTGTCGCCCAGACTGGAGTGCAGTGGCCGCTCCCGGCCACCGCAGCCTCAACCTGCTGGGCTCCAGAGATCCTTCCGCCTCAGCTTTCCGAGTAGCCGGAATTACAGGCATGCGCTACCACGCCCGGCTGATTTTTTGATTTATTGTAGAGATGAGGTCTCGCTACCCAGGCGGGTCTCGAACCCGCGGGCTCAGGCAATCCACTCACCTCAGCCTCCCAAAAGCGCGGGATTATAGGCTGAACCACCGAGTCTGGCTGGCTCACATCTTCAATCACAGCACTTTGGGAGGCTGAGGCAGGAGGCATGTTTGAGGTGTTTGAGACCAGCCTGAGAAACATAGCAAGACCTAAAATTAACTGGTGGCCGAGCTTGGTGGCTCAGCCTGTAATCTCAGCACTTTGGGAGGCTGAGATGAGGGGATTGCCTGAGCCCGTGGGTTTGAGACCAGCCCGGGCAACTTGGCAAGACCTCGTCTCTACAATAAATTAATAATTAGCTGAGCATGGTAGCGTGTACCTGTAGTTCTGGCCACTTGGAAGACTGAGGAGGAAGGATTGCCGGAGTCCAGCAAGTCGACGCTGGGGTGGCCATGAATGTGTCACTGCACTGCACTCCAGTCTGGGCGACCGAGTGAGATTCCAACTCAAAAAAATAAATAAATAAATAAAGTAAGATTCCCTATTTTAATTACTTTTCATTATATTTTTGAGTTTTTTTTATTTTATGGAACAACTCTTTTCACAAGGAATTAATAATACTTATATTTTTATCTGGCTTTTGAATATTAATATACTACTGCCATCTCAGAATTCATCATCTCTCCTTTCCCTCCAGATCAGTCTCTTAACTTACTGTGTTTTCCTCCTCTCTTTCTGGTATCAGTTAATGTCAATATCATCTATATCCACTGGTCCAAGCCAGAAATCTTTATATTATCCTAGTCATCTCCTTTACCCTCTATATCTCATTAGTAGGCACTGCCCTCCTAAGTCTGTTTTGGAATTACCTCATTTCTCTTCAGCTCCAGTGTTTATGCCTTAATTCAGACCCCTATTGTAACACTGTTGCAATTGCAATAGGCTCCTAGCTCCTGTATCACTTCACCCCACCCCCATAATGCCTCCAAAATGATTCTTCTCTAAAATGAAAATCTAATCCTGTAATTTTCTCTGCTTAACTTAACTACCTGTGGGACAAACTACAAACCATTATTGGCATATATGACCCCATGATAGAGCAGTTGCCTAATTCTCCAGCCTCTCATCTTTCTCTACTTTTGTGCTTCCATTTGTCTGGAATTCCCTGCCTTTTATGTCCTTTCTGATTCCTGTTTTTCCTTTAACACTCAGGCATAATCTCCTCTAAGAACCCTTTTCTGACTCATATTCCCTGATATGAATGTATATCCCTGTTCTGTATTCTCTGTCCTAATATTGCTTACTATGACTATGACACGTTCAGCTTTTTATCCTGAGAATCCCAGTTCCCAACACTCATAATAAGTGCTCAATAAAATATTAGTTGCTCAGTGTTTACTTTGATATAACTTGCTGCTGTGACAAAGATCTTTCCTATTTACTCATATGATCCTGATAACAGATCGGGAAGATAATAGGGGCATATTTTCTCATTTTTCAGATGGTAGAAGTAATGAGTGTGGCTTTCTAATAAGTGGATAATTGACACTGGAACTAAAATTTTCTGACTCCCAGTCCAGTATTTGTGTGTTTCTCTGTGTGTGTGTACATGTGCATGTGTGTCTTCACCATAAATCTTTGTAAGATGTTAGCCAAAGAGATGCAGTCATGACAGTAGTTAAATTTAAATTATATGCAGTAGCTAAACTTTAAGAATATTGGCTGAGTATGGTGACTCACACCTATAATCTCAGCACTTTGGGAGACCTAGGTGAGAGGATTTCTTGAGCCCAGGAGTTTGAGACCAACCTGAACATGGCAAGGCCTCGTCCCTACAATAAATTTTTTTAAAAAATTAGCTGGGTATAGTGGCGCACCCTTGTAGTCCTAGCTACTTGGAAGGCTTAGGCTGAAGGTAACAATCACTTGAGGCCAGCAGATCGAGGCTGCGATAGCCATGGTCATGCCACTGCACTCCAGCCTGGGCAACAGAGTGAGATTCCGACCCCCCCCCCCGCAAAAAAAACATTTTATAATCTAATCAGGCAAAACAGTTGAGATGTTATTTTGTTACTTTTTTTGAGTCAGGGTCTCACTCTGTCACTCAGGCTGGAGTGCAGTGGCACAATCACAGCTATTGCAGCCTCAACCTCTGGGGCTCACACAATCCTTCTGCCTCAGCCTCTCAAATAGCTGGTACTACAGGCATGTGCCATCACACCCAGCTAATTAAAAAAACATTTTTTATACTATTTTTTTAGATGTTGTCATTTTGAACAAAATAATGCTATACTCTAGCACAGACTTAGGGTGATCTAAGAATATATGCTTCAAAATCCTATAAACACTGACTTCACTCACAAACTTGAATGTTTATACATTTTCTTGCCAAGTTATCTTAATTGAATATCTTTTCTATTTTTAGCTGATATATAATAATAGATATCATTTATATATTTTCAGGGACTTGAACATTTTTTAAAGATTGAATTCATGTTACCTTTTATTTTTCTGCAGCTGATCCTGTTTCCTTTATAACCTTGAATTGGTAGAGTGTGAAGTGTTGGAATGATTTATGAAAGGAAGTAGTAGCAAAGAGTAGTTTGTATTCTTGTGAAATTCTAGGGTGTGGTTGTCTATGCACATGTTTCGAAACCTTATCAGTACCACAGTCATTTATGCCTACATATAGCTTTACCATTCTTATAAGTATACAAGACATTTTGTGTTTCTAATAAGAATAGTAAAGATGAAAACTAATAGAAAAACTTCATTAGACTGAGTTATTTGTTTCATTCTTCTTGAGTGTGGTGCAATAATTGATATTTTAAAGTCCTATGTCATATAATTTAATTAAATTGCCTTCTGAAATTTCCTTTCAAAAGGTTTCACTGGAAGAAAAAAATGCAACTATTATTTATGACCCCAAACTACAGACTCCAAAGACTCTACAGGAAGCTATTGATGACATGGGCTTTGATGCTATTCTCCAAAATCCTAACCCTCTCCCTGTTTTAACTGACACTGTGTTTCTGACTATTACTGCTTCACCAGCTCCACCATGGGACCATATCCAAAGCACACTGTTCAAGACCAAGGGTGTGACAGACATTCAAATTTCCCCTCAGCAAAGAACTGCAGTAGTGACAATAATCCCTTCTATAGTAAATGCCAATCAGATAATAGAGCTAGTTCCGGATCTCAGTCTAGATATTGGAACACTGGAAAAAAAGTCAGGAACTTGTGAAGATCACAGTATGGCTCAAGCAGGTGAAGTCATGCTGAAGATGAAAGTGGAAGGGATGACCTGCCATTCATGCACTAGCACCATTGAAGGAAAAATTGGAAAATTGCAAGGTGTTCAGAGAATTAAAGGTAATATATCTGGTATTGTTTAATTGTTTTGTAAGGCTTGATTTTCTGTTTTGATCTTTTAGCTTTTTCACTGTCTTCTCAAGCTTGGGTTTTGAATCTATGAAACTAGAGTGTTTCATTGAAGTTTGAGGTACAGCATATATCCAGGATTAAAGTCAGTGAATTCATGGTTATAATTAAAGGTTACATGAGTTTTGAGCTGAAGTTTAGCAGAAAAGGCAGCAGGAGTGTCAGTTCATGGAGTTCAGGGCTCTTAATACAACATGCTGCGAGTACGCTTTATGTGTAATATATTTCTACTCAGCCATGCAGAAACTTGGAGACTATAGGTACAGTGATCATATCTTTTACTTGTTTCCAGTTTATGTCAATAACATTTTCTGATAAGAAAAAATATTTTAAGAAAAGATGACAAGAATGAGAGAAAAATAATTATTTGTGGTATCATTAGAAAGCAGGATGTTTTTTGAAGTGGCCCAGGAATAACTGAATTAAATAATTATGTTTCTTTTTCTTAACTAGTCTCCCTGGACAACCAAGAAGCTACTATTGTTTATCAACCTCATCTTATCTCAGTAGAGGAAATAAAAAAGCAGATTGAAGCTGTAGGCTTTCCAGCATTCGTCAAAAAGCAACCCAAGTACCTCAAATTGGGAGCTATTGATGTAGAGCGTCTAAAGAACACACCAGTCAAATCCTCAGAAGGATCGCAGCAGAGGAGTCCATCATATACCAGTGATTCAACAGCCACTTTCTTCATAGACGGCATGCACTGTAAATCATGTGTGTCAAATATTGAAAGTGCTTTATCTACACTCCAGTATGTAAGCAGCATAGTAGTTTCTTTAGAGAATAGGTCTGCCAGTGTAACATACAGGGCCAGTTCAGTCACTCCAGAAACTCTGAGAAAAGCAATAGAGGCTGTATCACCAGGGCAATATAGAGTTAGTATTGCAAGTGAAGTTGAGGAGAGTACCTTTAACTCTCCCTACAGCTCATCTCTTCAGAAGCTTCCTTTGAACATAGTTAGTCAGCCACTGACACAAGAAACCATGGTAAACATTGGTGGCATGACTTGTAATTCTTGTGTGCAGTCTATTGAGGGTGTCATATCAAAAAAGGCAGGTGTAAAATCTATACGCGTCTCCCTTGCAAATAGCAATGGGACTGTTGAGTATGATCCTCTGCTAACCTCTCCAGAAACCTTGAGAAAAGCAATAGAAGACATGGGATTTGATGCTACCTTGTCAGGTAATTATCCCTTTTTCTTTGGTTCCCCTATAATGTTCTTTTATTTCCATTTTGCTGCTTTGGCTTTTATCAATGAGAAATGATTTATAGATGCTACAATTCGACTTTTGCAAATAACTCCTATGGAGGTAGTCAGTGATGTATACAAAGATTCATAACAATGTTTATATAATTATTTATAACATTTAAAAACTAGAAACAATAAATAACTCATGTATAATGATTTGATGAAATATAATGAAGTCATAAAAATTAGGTATTAAATGCTACAGGAGAGTGAGATATTTTGTTAAATGAAAAGAAACAAGCTGAAAAGCTATATATGCACTATGATTAAAATATTATAAGCAAATGAATATAAATTTATACTATGTATGTATTATTTACAAATGAATAAGATTCCTGGTAGGACATGTAGCAAAATTTTGACAATAATTATCTTTGCGTGGTAGGATAAAGGTAATTTTTGTTTCCATTATGCTTTTTGTGTATCACAAATTTTTCTTACAAAAAGGATGTATGTATATATGTAGATATTTATTTATTTATTTAGTTGAAATCTCACTCTGTCACCCAGGCTGGAGTGCAGTGGCATGCTCATGGCCACTACAGCCTCAGGTGATTCTTCTGCCTCAGCCTTCCAAATAGCTGGAACCACAGATGCATGTTACTATGTCCAATGTAACTTTTTGATTTATTATAGAGATGAGGTCTTGCCAAGTTGCCCAGGGTGGTCTTGAACCCCTGAGCCCAGGCAATCCTATTGTCTCTACCTCCCAAAGTGCTGGGATTACAGGTGTGAGCCACTGCACCTGGCCTCTTATTTATGTATTTATATAATGGGGTAAGAAAATGCTATTTTAAAAAGAAAGGTAGAAATAAATAATATAATTTTAGCTGTAGTTTTATATTTAGGCATTCAAATTAAACTGATATGAGAGCTGTCCTAAAGACTCATGTTTCCTCATAGCTGTTACCTTTGAACTGAAACCAAAAATATATATTCAATGAACTTTACCTATGTGAAATTGTTGTTTTGAATCATAATGGGACCTGGCTTGAATTATTTTTCAATTTTATTTTTTGCACTTTATTTAATTTATTTTTATTTTATTTTTTTGCTGTAATTTTTTTCCTCTTTTAATTTTTATTTAAAATTGTGAGATACAATTCAGGGCTTGGTATACAAATATTCACCGTGCAGGTACCCTTATCAATGAGATGTGCCCCCTCTCCCCAGGCAGATCTTGACTACTGTCAGTCCCACCTCCCC